TCTGCAGGCACCTGCAACATCGTGCCCTGTAAGATCTGCATTAAACACACGGAACTGACTTTAAAAAAAAAGCATGTGAGATCATTTCTCCTTGAGACAGGAAGAACTAAGTACTCTTCTGCTTGAATTTAAGTCATTTTCCCTCTGTTATTTTAACAAGATGTTGCCGAAAAGACACAAACAGTAAAGGGAAGGAGAAAGGGAAGAGACGTCTGAAGGGAAAGTTGCAGCCACGACGGGTGCTCAGTCCGTGCAGACCGTTGGAGGAGAAATACTGAACAGCTCGAAACATCTATTTACAGTGAATTTAACATTGTAACACCACATGGGAACACCAATGACAACGTACCACCACTGTCCATGCTGTGGACGGGGCTGGGCGTGGAGAGCAGGTCCCTCCTCTCTGGGACTGAGGCCAGAGGAAGATGGTCTGAGACAGGGAATGAGCCCACGCGAACAGTCACATTCCCAGACAAGACTTTCCAACTACCCACATGCATCCACCTGACAACTGGGTCAGAAACTGGGTTCCAGGGCAGAGGACACACAGATGTTCCCATCCTAGGTTCTGATGCAGGGGCCACGAGCTGCCAAGCCAAGCTCACTTCAGAGCCTGGCTCCCCATGAAGGAAACAGGTGCCCCTATCACCTGCAGGTGCCTCCCGTGCCTCGTCCTGGATGCCTCGCTTATGCTCACATGGAGGCATCGTGACCTACAGGTTCACCTCTGAACGCTGATGAAGGTTTTCACAGCTTCGTCCAGTTTCAGTTTATTCACATAAGCATCAAAACTACCTGACAGCGCATGCTGGCAACTTAGATATGGAACACTGGTCATCCTCAGCGTGAAGACGTGCAGACTGGAGAAATGAAGTACAAATGAACTAATCAGTATCAGAGGCCTCCTAACATCCATTATCTAAATACACTAATCCATGGCCAATAGCTCACTAGTGAAAGTGGCAATATCGTGACATTTGATAAACATTCATTGTTATACTTCTCTGTTCTTTTTAAATTTTAACATTTACGTGTACAAGTCTGTGGGGTACAGTGTGTTGTTTCAACACATGCATATACTGCACAGTGATTCACTTAGGGTAGATAGCGTGGAGTTTTACACATTAGCACAACATTTGTCCTTTCCCACAACCCCTCCCCTCCTGGCTTCTGGGAAAGATTATTCTACTCTCTATTTCTATGAGAACAACTTTTTTTTTTTTTTTAATTTTTAGATTCCACGCAGGTGTGAGATCATGTGATATTTGTCTTTCTGTGCCTGGCTTACTTCACTTAACATTATAGTTTTCAGTTCTATTAATGTTGCTGCAAATGATAGGACATATTTTACTTTTATAGCTAAATAGTATTCCACTGTGCACATATACCACAGTTTTTATATCCATTCATCCATTGTTGGGCATTTAGGTTGATTACGTCTTTTGGCTATTGTGAATAGTGTTGCAATGAACATGGCAGTGCAGGTGTCTTTTTGATATATTGGTTTCATTTCCTTTGGGAATATGCCCAGTAGTGGGATAGCTGGGTTGTAAGGTAGATCTATTTTTAGTTCTCTGAGGAACCTCCATACTGTGTTCCACTGTGGCTGTACAATTTACACTCCCACCAGCAATGAAGGAGGGTTCCGATCTCTCCACATCCTTGCCAGAATTTCTTATTTTCTGTTTTGTTGATAATAGCTATTCTAACTGGAGTAAGATGTTATCTCATTGTGGTTTTCATTTGCATTTGTGTGATGGCTAGTGATTTTGAGCATTTCCTCATGTGCTTGTTGGCCATTTGTACATCTTCTTCTAAGAAATGTCTATTCAGGTCCTTTGCTCATTTTTAAATTAGGTTGTTTGTTGTTTTGTTTTGTTTTGTTTTTGCTGTTAAGTTGCCAATAAGTTACTTGAGTTCCTTATATATCTTGGATTTTAGCCCCTTGCCTGATGTTCAGTTGGCAAATATTTTTTCCCATTCTGTAGGTTGTCTCTTCTATTTGTTCATAGTGCCCCTGGTGATGCAGAAGCATTTTAGTTTGATGTAGTCCCATTTATTTATTTTTGTTTTAGTTGCCTGTGTTTTGTAGTCTTGTTCAAAAAAGCACAGTCCACTCCCATTTTGTGTAGCATTCACCCTATGTATTCTTCTAGTAGTTTCATAGTTTAGGGTCTTAAATTTAGGCATTTAATCCATTTTGAGTTGATTTTTGAGATAGGAGTCTATTTTCAATCTTCTGCATGTGGGTATCCAGTTTTCCCAGCATTATTTGCTGAAGAGGCTATCTTTTCCCTGGTGTATATTTTTGGCACTTTTCAT